AAAGAAAGGATCATTATGGATAATAATGATGAAAAGGGAGAAGGAAACATGACCGAAACACTCATTTTTCATTCAGATGTATTTTTACACATTTCATTTTGTTGGAAGTATTTGCTTTTGTTTAAGCAGCAACTTGAAAAGATTCTAACAATGTGCTATCTAGATCAGCAATGACTAATGCAGCCATACAACATTCTCTACTGACAAGGTAGGTTGTTTTTTTTTTTAATTTTTATTATGGATGACATGGACTTTGAAAAGAAGGATACAAAAAATGAACTAATTTTTATGATGAAGAAAATAACAAATCTGAGAGAAAAAAAAAATAAATAAAAAGATTGACAAGTGGACTGCTCCTGCACACTTGGAACACTTCCTTGGTTCATTGATGTAGCAGTACTTGTCTATCTAAACAAGGTACCTGTTGGAGTCCTTTTAAAATTTCCTTACATAAGTTTTCACTAACAGTAAAAAAAGATCCATGGGAAAAATAATTTTTGGTTCAGTACACTACATTCAAAATTAGCTCAACATTACGATATATAAAAATAAAATTATTTTTCAACCAATGAAAAATTTAAAAGAACCACATTTGTCTGATTAACTTTTATAGAAACACCTTTTAAAAGATAGTACACTTAATAGCATAGCCATACACAGAATGAACAGAACAATGCAAAAGTTAGTAGTCACACTACTTCATTTGAGCTTAGAAGCACTCTCCTTACCACAATGACAGAGAGAAACCTGATACTACAGAAGGATGCTGAAAATATCATGGACTGGACATGTGAGCAATGACAAAGTTTTAGAGAAAATGGAAACTTAATATCAGGAAGAGAGTTGAAATTTATAGGGAACATAAAGGAAAACAGTGTATATTCTACCTAACAAGAGTAAATGGTTGGCCAACAGAACAATGTTAAAAGACAAACTTTATTAAGTGCTACAAAGGACAGGAAATTATGGAGAGCCATAATCACCTACACCATGAAGGGACACACAGAAAATAACATTGAGAAAGAATGTTTTTAATTCAACCTTCATACAAGCCTTACTTCTTTACTACTTTCAGATCAAGTCAAAAGCTGCCTACTTTAAAAGTATCTGATTTCCTCCAAGTTGAATTCACAAAAAGAACATTACCAACAAACCATAATAAATTTTCCTTTACTAGATGCTTTAAATTCTAAAAAGTAAAAGGTATGTCAGTAAATAAATTTGTTATTGTCATATGTCGATGTAACTGTTTTTCTACTTTACCATCTCAATATGCAAAAGTTTCAACTCAACAAATCATATTTCTGAAACTTAGTGGACATATGCCATGTATGGAAAAAGCTACTAGCCTTCCACTTAAAGCAATGAACTCAATTAAAAACTTGTCAATGCTCCACAAAATACCCACCTAATAAAAGAGGATGGGTTGATGGTTGATCAACCTTAACTGAGAACTAGCAGAAAAAAAAATGTTAATTTCACAAAACTATGTGGTAAAAAAAAAAAAAAATATCACTCTCAGGTCTTGGTGTGAAAGTTCAACAGTCCTTTGACAGTAAAATTTATACTATTCACACCAGAAAATTGTTTACTACTTAAAAAGGAGTTGTTATAAATGTATGATAACATGAAGGAACAAATGCAACAAGTACCAGCATTAAGGCAAAAGAAAAGAATTTTTAATATAAAATTATTTGTATTGCCAATACAAAGGATGTGAGCAGAATGCCAAATGTGGGCAATGAAGGCAGCTTTTGAAAGAAGGGTAGAGTTAGTAAAGCCTGGTTTTGATGCGTTAGTTGGGTTGGTTGACTGAGGTCATGGGTGGTTTTGCTGAGAGCTTGTTGGGCGTCAACAACTGGCAGAGAATCGCAGCAAATGGGCCAGTTGTTTATGAGCAGCTTTCTTAAAAGCAAGTTGTAGTGACTCCTGGACTCATTTTTGTTCAAAATTAATAAATCAGTTAACTTGTTTTGGTTTCATGGAAAGATTGTTTGTCCTCTCCTCAACCCCTTCAGTTGGACAGATGAACTTTGCAACCTATTCAGCAACTGGTTCAGTCTCAACTTACAACTGGAAAAAAATGGTCGGAAGTATGAGAGGTTGGAACAATAGTCTGGGGCCTTGAAGGAGAACAAAAGCATGCCCCACGTACATTTACCTCTTTATTTACTGACTTTCAGTATTTCTACCTCCCTGTACTAATGTAGCTGAAATAGAAAGATGTTTATTTCAACTCCTTTTGAGAGTTGCTTCGATGAAGCAGCAGTTCATAGGAAGAAGCTGCTCGAGTGGAACTCACATTTCACCAATGGAATATGAAGGTAATGAGGGTGGTTCGCTATGATGTGCATAGCATAGTGGGTCTTTGCCATGAAGGTTAGAACTGGTGGAACTAACGAATGCATTTCATCTGAATATTTTTCATGGAAAGCAGCAATGGGTTTGCATTGATTCGTCTGTGAGAAAGGAGTTGAAGAGTGAAAAATAATTTGTCACCCACAAGGAATTTTGGATTATTGAGAGTGGAAAGTGGACAATGGGTAGCTTCTGCCCATATATGGCTGTAGTACTCAATTTTCGGTCTGATCTGGCTTTTTAGAAATGGTAATATTATCTGTTTCTCCATAAGAAATCATTTAGCATTCATTGACAGAGCAGCCAGTATGTTTTTGGTTGAAATTCATAAAATCTTTCTTTTAAAACATTTTAGGAAAAAAAGTTTTTAAAAAGATATAGCCCAATTTGATCCAATATATATTTCTTCTCTTTCCCACCAGTAGGAGGTGAGTTTGAGGTGTACCAAAATATATTTTATCACTTTTAAAGATGCCATTCACTGAAGAAGCCATCTTGTATTTTTGGCCATGTTGACTTAGCTCTGAATTCGTCTGAAAATATAAGTTAGTGGATTCCTTAACTAACTAATCTACACTTTTCTTTTTTTAATAGATGTACATACTGTCTGTATTTAATTTTATTTTAATTTATGCATATCTACCTAATATATATTACAATTATTGTGTATAATATTAATTCATTCCCAATAGCTTTAAATTTTGTGTTTCTTGTAAGAAAAGGTGTAAGTCACCACTCTTTTTTTTATTCTGACAGGAGAATATTTGAAGTTAGAAATTAAAATTTTATAGTTAATATTTTAATTTCATTTAATTATTTGAGGGTAATTCCTTCCTTTTCTGGTAGATGTATATAATGGAATTTGCTGTTCTAATCTGGTAATGCTTCTTTGTGTTGATGTATTTTTAAAGTGAGAAGTCTACTTTCTTGGGTTCTATATCGTTAAAAAAGAAAAAAAAAAGCAAATGTGATTATTTGCCTTTGGTGGTTTAAGGTTAGCCAATCAGCTCACAGCTACTGATTGGCGCACTTTTCTACTATTTTTTTTTTTTTAACTCTTGGTACAACCTTCGGAATGACCACATGTTGAACGGATCATCTCTACACACTTATCAGCATTGAGTCCGTAGATGGTGAGAACATCAACCCACCCTCAGCAGATAAGTTTGGTTGCAGACACCATTAAGTAATGTTGATTAATAACTTGTACAAATCATAAGTCGGTTGCATTCTATTCTTTTATTTTACTAAGTCTGCACGTCACATAGGAATCTTATATGGGACGTAATTCTACATATTTTGCAAACTTAATGAAAATTAATATTCTGCAGCTCATTTATGCAAATTTACCTTAATATTGTAGACGTATTGTGATTAAAAATACAGATTGTGGCAGACGTAACCACAATTTTACAAGTAATTGTAATTCAACTTTTTTTTTTTTTACAACTTATTTGTTACCTGTTGCATTGAATCTTTAACTGAAAAAATATTTTGTTTTCATTAGGCTAGAAATTGTTTACTTTATGCCTATACAAAAAAAATCCAGGAATTGGAATCAACATTTGAATAAATGTTTATTTTAAAAAAAATGAACACTGAAGAACTATTATTTAAGGAAAAAAAAAGGATTGGGTGTCCTGCTACGAAAAAAAAAGAAAAAAAAAAAAAGAAGCAGATCCATTCATTTTTTAAAAATATGTTGTATTGTTTGAATTGTAATTGTAACAGAGAGAGGTATACACAAACACACTCAAATATAACTTTTATTGTTTTGATAGATCAGATTCTTTTCCCATTTTCTTTATGAAAAGAAAAAATGAGGTGAAAATAATGAATTTTTCATGTAAATTGTTTTAATTTGATACTGATAAAGAAATGACAACTAATTAAGAAACATTATTTTGTGTTTTATTCAAGGTCAAAGTTTATGACTTTTATGTTTGGTAACCAAAAAAATTTTCAACTTTCAGGAAATATTAGATTCTACATAACAAAAGCTATTTATTCATTTTCTTATAATGTAATCTTCATATTTCTTTCTTTTGCTGAGATGAATTTATAAACTTCTTAAGACAAAATTCCAATTCTAATTATGTTTGACTGCAATGTAAATGGAAGAATTTCTAAAAGAAAAGAATTCCATTCTGCTTCTTGTGGAAAAAATGTATGGAGATTTTTTTTCAGAAATTTCCTAAGCAGAATTATTTTTATTGAAATCTCCTGTGGATGTATTGGGCAAGCAGTCATGTTAGACAAACACACGCAAATATAACTTTTATTGACTGGAAGTGAAAATGGTGTTTATATATCAAAGTACAATTTGGGTTAAGATGTGTGTTTACCGATGAGAAACACGATCTCAGGCAGGAGGCGATGTTTTAAATCTGGGTCATTAGAAAAAACAATGAAAAAATGATCGAAATAGAGCTTACTCAGGCTACGAGATATTTGGTTTTGTTTAACAGTATTTGTTTTGATTAAAGGGTTGAATCAATGTTTAGATATCCCAAAGTATAATTTTGGGGAAGCGAGAAGAACTCGTGGTAAATAATTGGAGAATCGGTTTACATGTCAAGGGATAGTTTTTGGCACTCATGATAACTGCGTGCCAGGCCAAGGGTCCATTCATGATCAAACAGATTTATCTATATAAACCAGCGTAGTCATGCTGAAGAGAAGGCAGACGGTCGAGCGAGACGGAAGAGGCCAGACGGGAGAGACCGCAATCGGTCGGCACATTGCCGTCACGTGCGTGGGCACCCGCCGACGACCATTACGGGTTGCGGCGCTACAAAGCAGCCGGGAGAAGTCGTCGAGAGAGAATTCTCGAGTAGACGGTCGAGCGAGACGGAAGAGAGAGTCGGAGAACGAGACCGTCGTCGAGAGAGTCACGAGAGATTTGCGGGAGAATTAGAGAAGGAAGACTGTCCCCTGTTCTGAGAAGTCTGTATGAGACTGGACTACTTGTCATAAACTTACCCCAGGCGATTCAATACGCGTTTATCACACACAAACCCTCTCTGTTGGGAATTCGCTGGATGCATTGTGTCTTTTTCTTTCTCTTTTCTCATTTATGTTAAATATTTTTATTCTCACTGAAACTTCTGTTCTGATGTTATTTTATATAAAAGACGTCAATATTTCCCCCATTGTTGTCTTGCTTCTGCAGATATTATTTCTTGTTTTATTTTGCCACATTCTAAACTTCCTACCGCCAACTCTCACAGCCGTGTCCACACCCCCAGTCGACCGTGAACGTATGGACAACACCCCGCTTACTGGATCTAAAAACTAACAGCGTGGGCAGCAAGCAGGACTTGACCAGTTGACCACCGAAATAATCTACGGGTACTCAGGGGGCGTACGGCAGTTACCCCTAAGTTCGATTCGGACCGAGTGGACACCTCAACCCAATGAGGAAGACGCAGGAGGTTGAGGGGCTGGGGACGAAGTGGTAGATAATTTCATAAGTTTAATAAGTGTCTTGTTACGTGATTTTTTTTTTTAAAAAGAAAAAATGGGAAGCAGCTATAAAGTAACAAGAGAGTGTTAAAGATATATTAAGAACTAAGAGTGCTGCTAAAATAAATAAATACAAAAATTAGAAGCTTTAGAAATGAGAGGAGATTTAATGAAAGATGTATTTTTGGATAGTAAATCAGTGATTGGGAAGCTAATTTCTTGATTTCAGAAACTAACAATACAATTACTGGGATTTGCATGGATACAGAAGAAAGTATTGAGCAACTGGGATTAATGATAGATAGTACGGTAGCGCATATACAGGTGATAGTCCTGAAAAAAATTTTTAATTCCAGTGACAGTATGTCATTAAAAAAATGCTAGTACTCAAAGTAGCAACAACAATGTGAATACCTTTAATAACGGTCAGTTTATGCCATTACTGAAATTACAGTGTAAGACTTTTAGCAGGCTTGATAGCATGAAATTTGAATACAAAAAATCTTTGGCTCAATTTCAGAATTGTGTACATAGTGTACAAACTGATAGAGCTTGTAGTGGTCTGTTAATAAGAATGAACAACTGTAGATGTTTGTTTATGGCTGCGTGAATAACATGACCACACAATTTATATTAAATGTAAAATACCACAAAACATGAAATACAAGAAGGAACAAAATGGTTTTAAAAACATAACATTTGTATTTATTTATGTGTTGATGTATTGTACATGCATAGAAGTTAAAGATCTGTTGGAGTTATGTCTCTTAGACTGGGAATATTTTTATCTGAACTCACAAAAGTTGAATTATAAAGCTGAGAAATGCTGAATAAACTGTAGTTTTAGAAGAATATTTCAAAGAGAAAAGTTCTTGTTGCATGTTTGGAAATGTTCTGTATGTTTGTAATGTAGGTTGGAAAAGTTCGTACGTACGTGCATGCGTGAATATGCTTTTAACATCTGACCGCCCATGGTCGAGACGAGAATCCTTAAGATCACATCTTCGCAGGAATTTGGAAGAGAAAAGAGAATGAGCGAACGTGTGTCTGTTATTTATAGATAATGTAATCACGTGACAGGTTAACAGCAAATGGCAGGAAACTTGACTTGGTCACGTGCTGGAAAAAATATTTGTACGTGGTTGGATTGCAACGCCCACTTGTGTTTATTGACCAATTAGAAGCTGATATTTCCTGAAAATATTTATTAAGTCGAGCAGGCCCTCTGATCCACTTTTTTGCACAAAAATGTACAAAAGTATATATTGATAAGGAAGTGGTAGCGGGATGCTACAAGCTAACCATACACTCAAGCCGCTAGTGCACCTCCAGCGGTCCTCTGGTGAAAACCACCGACAACCCTTTAGCAGTCCGCCAGTGGTAACATTGCCGAGAGGAAGACGCCAGCGAGCCATCAGCGGTAAACGCTAGTGGTATGCCACCCAGTAGCAGATTGATGGCTTGCGTGTAGGGAGTTAGCCATTTTAAAAAGTTTTTTTCACAGCCTATGCACTGCAGTTAGTGCCCCATTTAACTTTAGAAGACGAAAATTTTAACGTTTTGCAATTGTTTGGGGTGTGCAGATTTTTTTCGGGGCAGGTTTTGAGGCTAGTTGATTTATGGGACGCAGAAAGTGTTTGGTTCTTGTGGCTAACTTGTATAAGATAGTGGCAGCAATTACTAATTATTCTGGAAGCTGTCCGGAATAAAGCAATCTTAACCCAGCGTACAACGCAATGATTAAGTAAAACATTTAAACAAGTGAATTTAAAATTAACAAGATCTGTTCACCAACAAATAATTTATTTGGATATTTTATACATCGTATAGTGAATATAATTAGAAGACGACTCTTGAAAAGAAGGGTAAGTTTGTTGTGGATGTAAGAAGGCTGCGTGAATATTTAAAGTTGTGCTGCAAATAAAACATGCAATATCCACAAACATACATAATAAAATTGGGTCAAATGGTAATGATATTCAGTTACGACAAAAGGGACAAGTTTGGAACAACAAATTAATTTTTATATACACACTTTTACAATTTTTTTTTTGTAATGATGTGGGCGAGAGTATATTTAAGAGAAAAAGTTCTTTACTGCTTCAGTAAATGCCAAAAGTAAAAGTTGTCTGCCTTTTACTATAAAGGTTAAATTCAAATTAGACAAAAGTTTTTAAGAAAGATATTGAATGGAAAAAGTTCTTCGTTGAAATTTTCCTAATCTTTCATAAAGGAAGTTTGTTCCAAAATGCAGTATAAAAATTAAGTTTTTTTAGTGTCTTTTTGAGTTGTATCTCCTTTTCGTGTTTATCTATCTACACGCGAGTAAATCTCTGTGCGTATCCCTTGCGTGTGAGAATCTCAATGCAGTATTAACTCCTTCCCCCCACTTGGACGAGATGTGACACAAGGTTGCGCTGGCCTCGGTGCGAGCACCAATCCCTCCCTCTGGTGTGTTATAGACAAGCGTATGGTTGCAAGAAAGAAATACAACAGCAGAAATAGATTTACGTGGTTTATTTCAACAGGAACGTGTGGGTTTGGGACAGCTACCTTGTGGTAAAGTTCATAAGCCGGCTTCGGATCTAGGTCGATCTCTCATAGTAGTTCACACATGTTGACGGTGGTTGATGCTCCCCTGATGGCAGCTGCTGACCGCTCGGCCTTCCCGTGACACGTCTTCTTTGTGGCCACCTGTTGACATTATTTATTGTACTAAGGTACAAATGTGGCACAAGGCCGAAAAGGGGGTTGGGGTAAAGGACGGTCATCACTTGTCTTAGATTAAAACTTAGCTAGCCACATCCACTGACCCTATCATACTGAACAATATTCCTTTCACCAAAACAACACATTTATCCATACCTTTCTTACTACATACACCAAAATGCCTCTTTGACTCCATGAAAAAACCTAAATAATCCCCTTATGTACAAATATTGTCTGTGGGGGGAGGGGCATAAAAAACAACAACTTCTAAAAAGATCCCCAATGAAATATATACAAAAGGACAAAATATTTACAAGAAACCAAATAAAATTTGTGTTAGTAATAAAACCCCCCACAAACTATTGAATGTGGCAGAAATATCAGTTAACCGGACGAAATCGATGCGGGACTTATGAAAAAATAAAGCCACACTCATTCATCCCAAGCATTCACACAGGCACACACTCATTCATACACAACAACAAATACGAAAAACACTCGCACGAAAACGAAAAGCGCCCCGCATCTACCAGAGAACTGACATCACTGACCACCTAAAACGAGGGAGGGGATGGGGAGTTAAACTAAAGGAAAAGAAAATGGGGACAGAAATAAAAGGGACCAATGAGCAAATACACCCTAGCTAAGTTTACCAGAATAGAAAAACTAAAAGAAAAAATACAAAAAACCTAATCTAACCTAACTCCGGAATGGGTTGCCTATGTTCAACCCAGGAAAACAATATCCTTAATGCCTAACCGGCATCCAGATGCCACTCAAGGTCAGCCCCTTTTACTCGGCACATTCGCGCAAGAATCACCCACCTTTTGCTGAATTCCGATGAGGTGAGGTGAGCCGCCGCCTTTCCGTCCTGATCTTGACTTTAAGCTGATGCTTAAAGAACAAGATCAGTTGGGAAGAAGTGAACTTCTCGCCCTCATGGAATCTCTTCTGACGCGTCGTCTAAATCACGACTCTCATAACCCCTAGTAAGCAACAGAACACATAGTGTTCAGCCTTCGTCATCTGCGGCACCACATTGCTACAAACAGAACTGGCTTCCAGGACAAAAAACCTTCCGTGCAGCATGCGAACCATGAGGCCTTCAACAAACTGCATTAACGGCACTACCGCCCTGCACTGAAAGAAGGCGTGACCAATAGTCTCGACTTCCCCCGTACAGCGACGACAGTTTGGATATTTCTCCAAGCCTGCTGAACAAAGTCTCTTGCCGACCCAGAGGGCTTCACGAATCACCAGCCAGGTGAGTGATGCCTCATCGTTATTGAGACATTTCAACCCGGGCGCCCAAGGCCATATCGAGCGAGCCTCCTGCTTCGTAAGACCGAGCTCGCCAATCAGATCATCTTGTACGGACCCCTAACTAAAACTTGATATAATGCCTTGCGAGACAACGCCTGGGCGTTGGAGAGACCATCCGAAGCCCGTAAGAGGAGCTTCAGAGCGCGACGACATTCACGATAAAAAGAGCACTCGGCACGTGGTATACGGCCGGCCTCTTGTTCGCACGAGTGCACACTTTTCAGGGACGGAAAATGTTTCTGGACGTCTTCTTTCCAAAAGGCACCCTCCTCATTCGACCCACGACACATTCGGTCTAAAAAGGTAATGCGAAGCATATATTGACGGATCTCAATGCTAGGCATCCCCAGACCGCCCTCAGAGGGATGGAGGCAACAGACCTCGCGAGATACCATAGGGGCCTTGCCTCTCCACAAGAAAGAGAACAAGGTCCTGACTAATGACAT